GCCCCTGTTTAATGCACATTTTGGAAGTAAGAATGTATTTTTACTGTTAATGTGATGATAAATATGTGGTTGAAAAAAAAGTTATTGATGTGATGAAAAATATTATTTTATTGAAGAATGTGTGGTTGAAAATGTGTAGAATAATGAAAATGAAAATTTTAATGTATATCAAAAAGGTGCCTTAGTTTTGTTTAGTATGTAGCTCATTTAGTTTTTATTTTATGTCCAGTTGCATTTGGGCCCATGAAATGAGCATTAAAATAATTATTGAAAGTTAAATAATAAATATTAAAAATACTCTTTTACTTGCTATAAAATTTTAGTAGGATATTTTTCTAATTGATTATATTTTCGGTTCGACTATGTGACCCTTGGCCCTCTTACTTTTTCGGGTTAATGTCAAAATCGATTTTCAAAATATTGCAAATTTTTTATTTATAGCTTGTTTGATACACATTATTTATGAAGAATGTATTTTAGAATGGTAGATTGATAGAGAATATGTGGTTAAAAAATAAGGAAAAAATTTGAATTTGCGTGTAACATTATTTTATTGAAAATTTTGTGGTTGAAAATAAGAGAAAAAAAAAATNTTTTATTGAAAATTTTGTGGTTGAAAATAAGAGAAAAAAATAAATTTTGAAAATAATGTGTATCAAATAAGGGCTTAATTATAGGATATAACAATTATCTCATTTTTTTTCTCCACAACTGTCTTAATTTGAAAAAAAATTTGGGTATGGACACGTAAATCATAAAATTATAATTCATATTTCTCTTTCTTTTTATCAACGACACATTTTCAGTAAAAATAATATTACACGTAATTTTAACGATTTTTTTTCTTTTTTAATCACACATTTCTTTTAGAAAATATATTATTTAAATGATTAAAATTTTAAATAACGATAGCCAACGTAACTACCATCGTTGATGAATAAAGATGAGACGAATTGAAATTTTTCGTCTTTTCGTTCAAAGAAGCAAGCAAAAAAACCGTGACGAGTGATGCCATCTGAAAAGATAGCAGAGGACACTGCAGGTTTAATTATCATGTCCCCTCCTCTCTTCCCAATATTTCCCATCAAAATTCAAACCTGGTGAAAATTGCACCATTGTCCTTAGCTAGATGATAGACCATCTACAGCTACGCATGGACTCTCTTACAACTTTTTTTTTACTCTCTCAGATCCTGTTTGAAGGAAATTTTACTTTCATTTTTAGGAACAATTGGACGACTGTTGCACAGTCAACTTGTAGCCATTTTTCACACTTCTGACACAGTCCCACTGCAGCTGAAATTGTAAGATTCTTTCTCTACCTTAATTACGTTTTTACCCTCAATAATTATCTCAATCACTCAAATGTTGAAAATTGATTTCCACTTCAGTGAGGATAGATTTGGAAAGTGGGTGGTGTAATTCAAACGCAAGAATCTGTCAACATCATGCTCCAATCTGTTTTCCTGTCAGAGACATTTGAAATGGGCCGTGATTAACTGTGCAATGGTCCAATTTCTTCTGAAAATGACAACAAAGTTTCCTCCAAATAGGCTCTCATATGACAAAGTTT